TGTACTCTCTGTACTTCCACTGTACTCCCATTGTATTGTGGGAGTACGGGAGTCTTGCCTTTTCTCCCTTGGTTGAACCTGAATATTACCGGAAAGATTTAATATTATAGGAGAAATTGATTTAATTTACATAAGAAGTTCCTGAATGAAAAATATAATATAGATGACTGACATATATATGCATAATGAATGGACATATACGACGTATATCTATATCTATATATAATGAATGAACATATACGACGTACATATATATGTATATTTTTTTTTCGTTCTGTGACCAATCATATGAAAGTTCCTGAAGAAGAAAACTTGTACAATATAATATAGATGTTTTTTTTCCATTTGAGCTAAATTCTTTATACGCTACTCCTCAAAGGAACAAGCTTTTCTCGACTTTCAGATGCTATATCAAGATCATATTTGATAGATATAGCATTAGATATAAAACTGATTTCTTATTAAACATTAGTGAAAATTTGTAACAAAAGCATGAACTGAAAACCACTAGCTATTAAAATATTACGAGAGTTAGTGAGAAAAAATGCAGAAAATTGATCCCGAAATTTAGAAGTGAAAAATCTTTAGTTTAAATCGAAATTAACTTCTAATAGTTGGCTGACTTTCTGTGAGCATAATTTATTCATTCAGCATGATTCAAGGATGTCATTTTACTATCAGAAAGTATGAGTTCGAGACTTCCTAGCTCATATCTTTTCATCATTAAAATAATGAAATTCGATAAAAATGAACAAAAACAGCTATCTTTAGTGCCCAAAAAAACCAATAGAGACAATATTGATAAAAACCAGTCGGTTTTAAAATTACAAGTGAACTGATAACCGACAACACGACCGGTTCGGTTTCAAGTATGCTTGCTCGTTAGTAACTTATTTAGTGATAAAGCTCATTTTGTTATTTTGACTGGATGTTTTTGTCAGAGAACTCTGCAAATGCTTAGAATAGTTTCAAAATTTCGGGTAAAATGGTTGCTTTTTTCTTAGAAATATTGAAAGTTGAGATAAGTCGATTTTTCTCATACAATGGGCTATTTAATTTCAGTCTGAATTTATCAAATAAAAATAATACTTGATTTCAAACTGAAACGTGAGTCTAGGAGTGAGGGAGGGGGGTGACTGAGGGTGTGGGTGTTGGTCTGGGATCCACACACACACCCACACCCATGGTGCGGGTGTGGGCGCGCAAGTGAGGGTGAGGGTGTGCTTGTGGTTTTGTGTACTATAGGCTTTAGTCCCCTGCACAGGGGATTAAGCGGGGACTAAGCTTTTTGTGGGGGGGACTAAGGGGGACTTTGCAGGACTAGGGGGACTAAGGGTTTTTAGTGAGACTACGTAGTATCAAGCGAGAAAAGTTTGATTCGGAAGAAATTGGTGTGGTTTTTTTTATTTTAGAATTCAGTTTGAAATAAAAAAGCCGATAGACTCATTTTTCTCACCGTTGTGTAGCATATGATCGCTTTTTCATATTCAATACTTTTAGGAAGCAGCACTATTTTTTTCAGGATTCTATTAGATATTTTAACCATCATTAGGTTTGTTCGTGAACAAAATATTAGATCGAAGTTAGACCGTTTGTTTGTTTTCCCAAATACCTTTGTGTAGATCAAAATCACTGTAAAATCTTCATAACTTCAGAAATAATACCTTTCAGTGGAAATCTTTTTCAAGTTTTTCTAGTCAAGCTAAGTCTTACTTACGATCAAGACATGATTTCGCAAATTTCAAACTAGTTGGCAAAGACTCCATTGTGAACTGTTACTATGAATGATCAGAAAAATTGTGACGTAGAGACATATTTCTAAGACTGTATAGCAAAAAAACGGTGGCCTCAACAGTAACTGACATCTGTATCGTAGAAAAGCTATAGATCGCTAGTTGTGTAGGATGAGTGAAAGAAAAAGGATCGGGTCAAACGATAATTCCACTGACTAATTGTGAAACCTTGAAACTACATAGAAGTACACGACGATTAGTGTGAAAGATTTAGATTAGCAAGCTATGCTCGAAAGTGGATGTCAAAAGCTTGGGGCAACGAAGTTATGTTTTACTGTTGGAGTGACTAAGTGCAGACATCAGAAGTAGACATGAATAAAGATGAGAGACCGTCCAGGTCACGCGAAAATGCGAGCCAATACAGAGGAAAACGTTCAGGCTATAGAGTAATCCGCTAGAATATGATAAAAAATAGTACGGTCACATTTTGATTCCTGAACATAATGGTAACATGGCGCTGGTACAAGACCGCATTGGTTAGAGGTTCGACTGGGAAGTTTGTAGATGCGTAGTAAGTGTAGACAAGTCAATGTAAAAATATCTACGCCCAAGCTGAAGTGTTTAAAAGTATGGGGAAAACGCTTCAAGCACTAGAGAAATGTGAAAAGTTGAGAGGAATAGGATTGGCTTGGTTTGCTAGAATAAACACCATTAATGCATATATGATCTCAGTATTATTTTATTGAGAGAAAAATGACAAAAAGTCTGCTACAAAATGCAGTTGTATTACATTCCGATTTCACTCGTAACTGAGGGTATGGGTGTGGATGACCACTATCACTGCGCATCCACAACTATACTCACACCGCACACCTATACCTACAGCCACAGCCACACTCACATCAACACCCAAATGGGCTAACTAATTATCATTATCCCGTAAAGGCGAACTTTAGCAGATCATCATGCAGCATCTCGTGGTGGATATGTCCCCAGTATGCTGCGTATAGGAAACACAATTCTTTTTTGGTTTTTTTTGCACTTTGGTTTCTAAATCGCGTGAGTTAACATATTTTTTTTTGAGTTGACTCAAGCTAAATCCTTCTGTCAACTTGTTTGATATCGAATAAGAATAAAAAAGAAAGGATACAATGATGACATTCTATACTCGAGATTTGTCTATGTGGCATTTGGGTTTGTTGTCTTGTTCTTTTCTTCTTACAATCTATCGACAAATAATGAGCTTTACAAGAAACGTGTTACTCGCAGCTAATTCGACTCTCATTGAATATCAATAATCCGAAAACATATACTACCTCTTGCTGTTCGACATCTAATATGTACTACGTCGAGCGAATCATGAAGGACAATCGTTGGCATCCTTCAGCCAAACGAAACGAACAGTTTTAGAAGCGTACGACTTTATGGATAATACATGCATTCGTTTGACACGAATAGTTCAGAAGACTCGACATATTTTTACTCAATGTACTAGATTCGTATCGATTTTTGTGCACAAGAACACGGTTCATTTTCCCATATGCACTATAGTGACTCGATCATATCTATTACCAAACGCGTTTCTCTTTCGTAGCACTCATGGACTAGAGTCCAATCAGGCGAGGTGTAGTCGTTCAAACAGCGGTTTTCTTGTTTCATTGAAGAAAAGCCAAGGAAGACGACTCGAAGTACTTTCCGCTCACCCAATTAATCAAAATAGAGGAAAAATAACGCTTTCAGTCAGCGATGTTCTTTTAAGCATTGAAGAAAAAGAATCAATGTCAGGTTGCTTTTTCATTTTTCACCTTCCATAAAACAATAACCATTGAAATGTCGCATTTACCAGCGTTCGTCTGGTCACTTCGAGTTTCTTGTTTTTCTCATGATGTTTGCCATTACCCGATGAGTAGGCAATTTGAACTTTGTCATCAGTGTTCAATACACATCAAAACAACGGCAAAACGTTCACAAATGTGTCATAACTAGTTCACCTGTGAAAATTCTCTAGTGTTTATTCCGTTCCTTGTTCATTTTCGTGTGTCCTATGTCACACTTCCTTTATGTTGAATCCAGCTCTTCTTCTTCCTATCTGCGACGTTTGTGTTATAATTTTGCAGCACAGGCTATCCCTTTTAACGAAATTTCAATCTTTCCGTACAATCTTCATGTTCATCTCACGTTGTCTCGTACAATTAATCTTGGTGAGTGTTGTCGTCTGTGCAGTAATTTCGTCCAATCGCACTCTTCAGCGACTACAACAGGTATTTTGATCACACTGTTAGACAACGTGAACGTCGATTAACTGTCGTTCGTTGATAAACTAGGTACCTGAACTAACCTCAAGAAACTCATCACTCACGGCAATTGTCGATCCGTCGATTCAGAACCAACAATACTCTGCCAACAATGATGAAACTCCATTCGCTGCTACTGACACGTTCGTTTTCGCCATGTTTCCATTGGCCAAAGGTCCTTATTTATACAATGGTGCTGGCGAACAAGAGTGGCAAATTCGACGTGACACTGATACAGCATTTGTCGTCTATGGTACGTTGCGAATATTTCAGTCTTTGTGACTTTCCAAATTTTCACAAAATTGAAAACTCTTATAGAAGCTTTCCAAAGATAGACGACCTCGGATAGACCATGGGAGCAAAGAAAAGATTCGGAAAAGCTCATTATAATCAGATGAACTACTAAAAAATGAGGCTATGCAGGAAAATTCCGAAAAATGTAATGTACTCTACAAATCTACAAAGGACGTCAAGGAATCCCTAGAAGTAAAAAAACATTTAAAAATCCCAAAAATTTAGAGAATGAATTACAGAACCACAAAAGATTTCATATTCACTGTTTTCTGCTGCGTTCATGGACATCAGAAGCGACATTGTCCAATTCGTTTTTCTGTATAGCTATACAATTTGACAAGATCATTTCTGTAATATCCTTTTTCAAAAATCTATGAATACGTCTCAACATGCTAATCTCTACCATATTTTAAAACTGGTACAAGAACAAGAATATTTAAGAAGATTTACTGTTAAAATATGTATTTTGCAACGTACAAATATACGAAAATAGAGCAATAGACGCAAATTTAGGCATCCATGAGTAACGAACCCTTCCACAACAGAAGACCATAGTATTTGTTTACGTACTTTCACATTTTGTGTTCGAGGATGGTCTTCTATTTGGACTCCATTAAAAAACTTCTAGAGAAAGTCATCTGAGATTATTCACTTTGCCTGACAACAGGTTTTTTTCTGTCTCTGATTCCTTTCACATGCAAAGCTATATGATACTTTTCCCCACATTTCCATAAGTAGCAGAGCTCAAGCTTTTTACTATCTTACTTGCCAAAACGTTGTGTATATGACTCTAGTGTATTATCTTTATCATTTTCAATCCATTTTTCATTGTTTACTGTCGAATCAATGGTGACATTCAAGTACGTGAGTGTTGTTTGATCAAACGTGTAGTCAGATTGCATGGAGTTCTGTGTTACCAAACCTTCGAATACTTAAATTTTCTTCGAAAAATTTCCTCTGTTGAATTTGAGAGTTATCTCAAAAAGTCAATTTTGTCGAAAAACGACTTGTATTGTTTGCTCATCTTTGCTATTGTGATTTTCAAGCATTTGTGACATTTGAAAAGGTTTTACAAGCTCAAATGACATTTATGTCGAGGCGAGGGATTTGACTTAAACCACATGAAAGACAAAGAAGACATTTGTTGAAGAAAATTGAAATCTTGCGACATGTGCAAATGACTCTGGCTTTTAATTTTAATCCCGATTATGTCGTCAGTTTCAGTGTGACAATAATAAATTCACTAGAAAGCAGTCACATATCGTACAGACAATACTACTTTTCTATTCGAACACACAAGAAGGATTTTGACTTGTTGTTATGGGCAACTTCTTTAACATACACACCAAAGATATTTTTCTATTCTATCAGCGTGTCTATTAACAACAAACATCTGATGGCTGGAGTTGAAATAATTTCCATATTAGCTAGTGATTCTGAAAGATAGTGCATCGCACTTATAAAAGATTTCTCTTACTTTCTCCCAACTTCATAAAGTATCCCATGCTCTCGCCTTTTCGAGCCATCAGTGCCTCCACCTCCGAATGCCCACAGGCATGTGCATTTGCAGATCGATTGCAAAAGTGTCAGAAAGCATAGACTTCGAAAGCGTTAAAAACACTTTTTGAAACTATCTTCAAGGCATATTGATCGGTAAAAAGAATATTTCATTTTCTTGATTCGTCTTCAAAACAAAAACTTTAAACAGTCGATAGCCCTGCAAAAATTGAAGTTTGAAAAAGCAAATTTTTTCCTCACTACAGGCTTTAGAAATATCAAGAGCCTATTGTGTACTTTATATCAGCGACAATGTCAATGTGTGATATGACAGTGTTTCGAAACAGATTAACAAATAAGTGGCGGTAGAGCACAATATGGACCTACCATCTATCATTGAGTTGCCCAAAGGGAATGACGAACGTCGTGAATATATTTTTTATAAACTTCATCTTATAAGACGTTGAAATAATGTTTAATATGGATTCAATGCTCCAATCGTTATTTTATTACTTAATGAGAAACAATTGTTTTTTTTTCTAAAGATGTGTACTGCAAATGTCTATCTTTAAAGAATAATTGTTATATATTAAGTCATTCTATTTTTACATGATTCAAATAAAACAAAATAGATTTCGTTATTATCTAATCAACGTTGTCATAAAAAAGAAAAAAGGAGAATATTTCAAGTCGTTCAAAATCCTTCCTTTACCCTCAAAGTCGTTGAAGTAACCAAGCCGCAGCAATGTCTTTCGAACGTGAATTCCAACGGGAATATCTAAGTGTTCAATATATAGAGATTTTCGTTTGTTTTCGTAAAAATGACTTTCCGTGGCTTTAGACAGTTGAAGGAGTTCACACGCTTCTTTCTGATATATTTACTTTTTGACATGACTTTGAAGATGATTGATTGGAACGAAGTCCTATTTCATTGGCTATTGGTCGAGCTACTTTCTATAGAATAGAAACTAAGATTAGGATACTTTTGTCTCGTTGAGAGGAAATTCATGCAAATGTCGTTTCACGGACTTGAGGATGAGCGTCATTCTTCAGTTTCATTTTGGTATCTGTCCTTCTATTCATTTCAGAGTCCGACTGTCACTCGTGCTTACATTTGAGGATATTTGAAACGGATCGTATCGAATAGTGACATTTCTCTCGCACCGTTTTCGACGAAACGACCGTTCCTTGGATCTTTATGTTGCATTGGATAAATCTTCTGTGCCACAGTCGAAATACGAAAGACAAGATTATGTCAACTATGTCTTGAATGTAACAAAACGTGTAGTACTCACTATATTTTTTCAACATCTTTTTTTCTTTCGTACATGTACACAACGAAGAAGATTCATAATAGAGAATTTATTCTAGTTGACAGAAATGAAAACAAACCGCTCACAATTGAGAGTTGTTCTTAGGAAGTGGTTTTACTGTAGACTGTACAAGGAGCAGAACGTTTGATCGAACGACCCATCGGCCCATACCATTGCCATATTCGAGAGATCAGTACTCTAGTTGTACGGTCGTTTTTCTTACTTCTGGAACCACTATTGGGGTATAAACTTAAGGTAAATCGAATTATTGAAAATCGTGTAAATCTTGAAAGTCTTCAAAATAAATGAAATTTTTATCCTTTTCTATGTTTCGGAGTACCGAGATTATTGATATTAGTCAAGTTACTCGAAAGTTTCCGAGGTTTCTGAATCGTCCACAAATCAGCTATATCTCATAAAGTTTGTTGATCTAGAAGAATTCTCTGGTTAATTTGAAGAAGATCGTCGTGCATATCACTGTGTCTTGTTTGAATGCTTTAGGTGAGAATTTGAACGGAACTATTCTATCATTTACGAGCCATTCTCAGTCGTGTTCATTGGAACGAAAAGATCATTTATACACATTAACGGTGAACGCTTCTGATCCCCATCAACGCATGAGCGAACGAGCTATCGTGATGATCAACCTGCCCTATTATAGTTCGACGTTATACGTTTGCCTTCAGCCACCTAACACGTCATATTCGTTTCACCAAGGTGATCGGTAAGCTTTTTATAGTCTCTTTTGAGTTGCATTCGTTTGACTAAATCTAGGCCGACTTTAAAATTGATTGTTACTCGACGTACTCTACCTGTATGGGCGACAATTCTCTTATTAATACTTCTTCTCTCTCTATCGGGTCTTTTCTCCGGTCTCAATCTGGGCCTTATGTCATTGACACCACACGATCTTGCCGTCATTCAAGAAGCTGGAACGCCGAGTGATAGAAAATACGCCAAGCGCATTTATCCAGTACGTAAACGGGGCAATTTCTTGCTCTGCACAATTCTATTAGGCAATGTTCTGGTAAATTCGACGACAACAATCCTTCTCGATACATTAATAAGTGGTATATTGGCTGTGGCCGGTGCCACTTTTGCAATTGTCATTTTTGGTGAAATCATTCCACAAGCCGTTTGTTCACGGCATGGCCTAAAAATTGGTTCTAAAACCATTATTCTTACTCGCATTTTCATGATAATTACATCTCCTGTCGCTTTTCCTCTCAGCAAAATTCTCGATTGTATTCTCGGTAAGAAAAAAAAGTTTAGTGGCATTTTCTTGTAAAGAAAAATATTTCAATCCTCATTTTCAGGCGAAGAAGTCGGCTCCACTTATACACGCGATCAAATGAGTGCATTGTTGAAACATACACAAACGACTGATATTGAAGATCGTGAGAAAAACATCATGACTGGTGTGTTGGGTTTGAAGACGAAAAAGATCCGTGATATAATGACCAATTTAATCGATGTGTTCATGCTCGAAGCCGATCGAGTTGTTGATGATGAACTTGTTTTGACAATACACGGTTATGGATATTCGCGAATACCGGTTTACGAAAAGCAACGGTAAGAAATCGATCAAAGGTTTTAATCAAACATGGTGTGTCAATTTTTGTTCTCGTCTAGTAACAATATTATTGGCCTGGTAAATATTCGTGATTTTGCTCTTCTTGATACAGAATCCGGAAAATTTACTGTGAGAAGTTTGCTGAATTTTTACAAGCATCGTTATGGCAAAGAGATTATGTCCGATGATTCGTGTTATGATGTTTTTAATAAACTTAAGAAAGGTAGCGCAGAAAAATAGTTGCATTTTTTATTACTATGGAATATTTTAGAACAATATCATATGGGTATTGTGGTTGAACATGACACTAGTAGTGAGAAAGATCCAAAGGTAAGAGCAGTGGGTATCGTTACATTGGAAGATATTATCGAAGAAATGATTCAAGAAGAAATCATCGATGAAACTGATGTATTTAGTAAGTCAAACGAGTTCGTGTGAAATCATCAGTCAAACAAATTTCGGATCTGTTTAGCCGATAATCGTGGTAAAGTGCGAAATATGTTATCGCAAGCGCCCAACTTTTCGGCATTCATTCGTCAAACAGAAACATCTGATGACACCACGAAAATATCAGCTCAAATGAAAGTTGCCATTTTACAATTTCTTTCAACATGTACGTGAATCAACATCCACACAGTGTTACTACGAAATGTGCAAGTTTCTTGCTCTCCTTCGACGATAAACCTTTTGTTTAAAGAAGTAGACATCGCACACAATCCGTTGCTGAAAATCTAGATCGATCAGACGGATTATGGTTAACTATATCATGTGAAATAAGTCGTTTTTTCCATTTTCATTTTCACCTATCGGTATTCCATCTCTTGCTAAGATGAGAACTGTTTAGATGGCTTAACCTTTTGTCCTCCAGCAGTTTCGAAGAACCTCTGATACCATAACCTTATCAATCAAGAATTAGTCAGACTAAAATGCCAATGACGTGGTCTGATACATCGAGCATCCATGAAACAAGTCCGACAAAAGAAAGCTCCGATTTTTATAGGCTACTTTTTCAAATCAGACTTAAGTTGAAAGTTTGATTATTATGCCAGGATACAGAGAATTTATTGATATGTCTCTTTTTGAATACGAATTTACCGTTTGTTTATGGCCTCGAAAACATTGAATGCCACAAAAATTACCGCTGCCCAACTATAAAATGGAAAAAAAGCGTAAAAACCAGTTTCTAAAAAAACTTAGATTGAGTTTCAATATTTTCTTTCATATTGTACGGTTTCCTTCTAGAAGGCTATCAAACATAAAAAGTCATTCTTGACCCAAGGAATTGGGTTTCTCAAAAGTTGGCTTTAGAGAGATAATTATTTGTATGCAAACGAAGACAAAATATACGTATCTGCAAAAGCTGACCTAATTTGTCTAAACAAATAATTAGCTTAAAATTGTTGCTCGACCAATGAACGAAATGTAGATAAGACATTGTGTAGAGCAAAGTTGACTTAATGAAAACCGTTTCCCATTTGCAGTTGAACAAGTTGCAAGGCAAATACAACATCGACTAAAATAAGTTATTTTTTAGAAACTTCACTTTCAGCTGTTTTAACTTAAATACACTTTCCATAAAGACCTTTGCAACAATCATTTGTCGTGTTCCACAGTTCAGACAGGACAATCATGCAAACTAAAAAAACCTTGAAAAGCACAGGTTACACTGAAAATTCTACAAGCCGAATTCCTAGAGACTCATTGTTAATAATGAATTTTTCTCGAACGATTGTTTTCCTTGTCTATTATAGCTGTCGAACCGTTTACGGCGCGGTTCATCTCGTCTCACATTCTCACTCGTTTATTAAATGTCCAATTCTACCAGGAATTCGAATACGATGAAGATAGCGCTAAAGATGGCAAAGTAACCTACATCTACGAGTATGGTAGAGCAGCCGATTATTTCGTGCTCATTCTCAACGGAAAAGCAGAATTGGTAACCGGCAAAGAGAAAATCGTTAGCCAAGTCGGTCCGTTTTCTTACTTTGGTGTGAGTGCACTTTGTGTAAGTAACAATGATCATTTTAGTTTGAATCGGATTGTTATGTTTTTCGTTTCTTTTTATAAAGAGTCCCGATAACAAAGTGGAAGACCTTTTACGTTCGAAAGATCTCAAATTTCGACCGTTTATACCGGATTTCAGCTTGAGAGTTTGTGAGGATGTACAAATTTTACGAATTCGTCGAACACACTGGTTAGCGGCTATTCGTGCGACTTTCTTTGAACATAAACAAAAAGCAAACGGTGGTCCACCAATATTCAATTCTGACGGTGAACAGATTGATTTGTTGACACAAGAATTGGAAAAGGCTAATGGCGTCGATCGACCAGAGGGAAGTACCAGAACTTCAAGTGAAACAAGCGATAAAATGCGTGATCGAACAATGTCTCTAACGTCAGCAACTGCTTTGGGACTTGTCAAAAGAGAGCACGAAGGTTTTTTCAGTCGACTTCGTTCAATAACTATTTCGCATAATGTGAATAAGACCTCGTCGAAAAGTCCGACAACCTCGAATCGAAATACGCCGAGTTTAACCGGTAAGCAGCGCCATCATTTATTTCGTACTGATCATACTTAACCACCGTTATCGTTAACTCACGAATGTTTATCTTCAGAGAACAGTCGTCGGTCTAATTAACAAGCAGTATTTCTTCGTGTGCACATCGAATAGTGTCGAGGAGTGTTATTCTACCTTACACTTTCATGTACGACGGTTTTCAGCCTTTGTTTTCTTGATTTTTATGGAAAATAACTTTTTTTTACTCAACTTGTCTTCGTATGTTATTTGGTAGGTGAGGTTGGTTAGTCAAAAAGTCGTTTTTCTAGATTTTTCTTGTACTGTTACATCTAAACGATTCTGTACAATAATACCAGTTGTGTGTATTACGAACTAGATTTCTGAATTGACCGATATTTGTTAAATCATTCTTGTTCTGTAGAAAATCCAAACGATTGAGCGCATATGAGCTTTGCTCGTCGTGCGTCTCAGTAGAATCTACGCCACCCCCATCCACCGACGGCATCGGATACTCTCTGATTGACTTCATTGATTTCGATAGTATATCAAAAACAAAGTATTCAATATCTTTAATTAAAGAGCGATGGCAAATACTTAAGATATTGTCACTTTACTTAAGTTTGTCTGAAATATAGAGGACTCTAGTTTTTCGGGTAAAACTGACTTCACGATTCCATAGTTTGTTTACGAGGATTTTTCTTCTGCTCTTATGACTTTACTTACGATTGACTATATTCATTTGGAAACTGTTCTGTTTCTACGTGGCTATTTCTAAAATTACATTGACACCATGATTTCATACCGAAAGTATTGATGAAAGTATATGTAAGATTATTCAGATTGATTTTTCAAGGGTGTGGGGTGTGGGATGTGAGTGAGTGGGTACAAATGGAAGACCGAGACCCACATCCTATTAAACTTGTCAATCCATGAATTAGATGCTATTGTCAATGACTTAAACATTAGTAATTCAATAAAATACGACTTGAATTTTTCACGATGAATGTCAGTCATTATACTTTGAAATATTCTGTTATTGTTGTTGTTCAATGAGGCAAAATTGAATTAACATCAATATTACCATATTTTGCTTCTAATGTATTAGATTTAAAATATAATAGTTGAAGCACAGTTCTTAATTCTGATGGCTTACCTAAGCATATTGTTTGTTGAATAGAATTTTTGTAGACCAATATCATTTACAACTAAAAATGGTGTGATTGATTGATATCATCATTGAACCGTAATTTCATTAATTCTTAATTTTTTCAAGTGAAGCTAATTTGATTGATTTAATCACTGAACCATATGTGAACAACAGTTTGCAACTAGAAGTGTATGTTGATGATGAAAGCAAAGTTTTTGATGATGCTTGCACTTGTAATATCATGTTGTTTTCATTTTCTTGATGTTATTTTTCCAACATATATTTTTTAAAACATGAACGATTTCTAAGAAAATTTGTGCCTATATCTTTCTTCTTAATATATGTCATAAACCAACTGAAACATAAAACATACCCATCAATAATACAAAATGTACCAGAGTTATCTTTTCTGCTGGGTACTCCAAATACATTCCAAAAGTTGAACTGTTTCTTGTTCTGATGTTTCATTTTGAGTTGTTTCATCCGTTTGTTTGAGCTATTTTTAAGATAAAAGGCATAGACTTAGACGAATATTTAATAGAAATAGAACTTGACGTTGATGAACTAGTTAAAAACTCGATCTCAGTATCCCGTGCTATACGTAAATTATCCAGTCAATTTCTAGAAAAAAAGGAAAGCATTATTATATAATCATATTGAACCATCGGGAATAATTGTAGTAAAACGATTTTGATAGATTTGTTTTGATAAATCCAGCTATTTAAGAGTAAAATATCTCGATTTCTAAAGGTAAATATGAAAAAGTAAAGGAGAAAAGAAGATTAAATAAAGAACCATGAATCATACATTTAACTGGTCTGGTCCATTCACATTGAAAAGCTAACGAATATGTGTCCGTATATATATGTATGCACTCAACAAAGGCGTAAATACTCAGAGCCGATAGATGTATCGTGAATAAAGACATGAAAGCATCTGGAAAGTGAAAATAAAAGATATAATCAGCAAGATAGGGAAATCTACTTCGATAGCTGATATGGGCACTCATGAGTCGACGTGTGAAACTGAGACGAAGACAGCAGATACTGACCAGAAATCTCCAACCTCTCTAATGGTTTGTTCAATCTATGAGAAAAGACTCGAAAATTTTTAACAAGATATACAATAAGTTTGGGGCATGCCATTCGATAATTCAACTGCCATGGATAGAAAACTGATCGTCGGTACATGCAATAGGCGATGCACCGAACTTGAATTTTATAGAACATGTTCTTATCCATCATTACTTACAATGAAATAGACGAATAGAAAGCATTGAATTTATTTGACTTATCTATTGTCATTTTCAATCACATGCACAGGTTTGCTTTCAGAAGCAATGTAATGATTTGAACTGTCAGGCAGGAGAAATTTTGTACTTTTATACCAAGAAATATTCTTTCATTGTTGTGTAATCGATTCTAAATTATATTTATACCATTCTTGCATAATTATTCAGTGGTCTTCGCGTTGGTTTTAGCGGAGCAGTCTATTTGTTGAGTGAGATCTTTTCGATTAATATATTGACACCCATAAAGGCTTCATCCAACAACAAATACAATTGAATTCAAGCCCATCCAATGAGTCCTCTTGAGTGTAGGATAAAATTGGCCATAGAAGCTCTTGCTCAATCTGAAATTTGAGACAGAACAAAGCAAGACTAGAGTCTGGTCGATTTCAATACTAACATTTATTGTTTCATTCTCTGCCTTTCTCCTTCAAAGTTTCGAAGCGACAATTTTCAACGCATTTTCCACGACTAGTTTGCATAGATGCTCGTTTGCATCTAATGAGATCTAAAGCGAAAACAATTTTCCTCTCTAAACATAAGCATACTACTTAATTTCAGATTATAGAAATAATGTTCTGACATCCCTTAACAATATGCGCAACACTTTCAACTGAAAAATTACGTTTTTTGATCAAATGTGGAAACCATTGTATACTGGAAAAAATAATACAATGGAGTGAAATCACACATGTTGGCTAACTTGATTGAGTAAAGAACATTGATAATTTTGCAAAATCAACTAGAGCACTCTAACAATTCAAAAGTAAGAAATAATTGTCTTGGACACTTTTCAAACACGATTAATAAACAACTTCAAAACAGTTTCTACTCTACTGAACGTGCATTTATTCTACTTGCAAGCTATCAAGTTGGAAATTTTAAAATAGCGATATCGTGCCATTAAAAACAAAAGTTTTGACATTTTTTCATAATACGGCTGACGACACGATTTGATGAAACGTAGACATTATTTGTAAGCACTATGTATTGGCAGAAGATCGACGTTGATTTTAACTTATTAATTGAAAAAAGTCACTTTTCTGCTAACTAAGTTACATAATTAAGAAAAAAAGGAACTAGCTTATTTGCACTATGACACAGGTTATTGCTGAATACTAATTTGACTCACACAGAATGTAATTGCGCAAGATTTATAGTGACACGTCTCACGGATCTGACAAGTTAGGCATCGAATACGCATATAAATATTTGGTTTGGTTCTGACATCTGACACATTCACATTCTGTTTCTGTTCTTTCGTTCTATCGATTGACAAGAATAGCATGACCAAAGACGCAGCATTGTCCTCGATCACCAATACGAAACCAATCATTGCACTCGATCACCAATACGAAACCAATCATTGCACTCGATCGTGATGGTGTTCTTTTGGATGATCATGCAACTTTTGCTCAAGTCTACGAAAAAGCATTTGGAAAACAACTAACTGTTGTCTCGCCTAAATTCTTTCGTGTAAGTTTAAACAAAGCCTCCTATCCAAAAACTCCAAGTGTTCTATTAACAGGCTGCCGATCTGTATGGTGTAAAGTTTACATCGGAAGAAGAAAATCATTTCTATGTTGTATGGGACACCGAAGCATGGCGAACAATGCCCATGCTCGATGGATTTCTTGAAGCTTGACACCTATTACATCAAGCAGGTTATGAGCTTGTCTGTGTCATGGCGATGTCTCCTCAATTTACTGATCACCGTTTGGAAAACTTTCGCTCGCATGGATTTCCAATTGATCGAGTAATCAGTACGGGTTATGATGGCGAAAATCCAGGCAACAATCCGAAGAAACAAGCGATTGAAGAACTACATCCAGTGGTGTTTGTCGATGATTCGAGACGAAATTTCAAAGATATTCAGGGTGTGCATACGCGATTCGTTTTTATTGATAAATATCACGATGGTCCGAATCGACACGAGAACATTTATTACGATGTCAAATATCCGAGTCTTTTGGCTTTCGTCCATGATTTTCTTAAAACTGAACATGGACAAGAAATTGTCTGGGCAGAAAGAGCTGCTTCTCTTCTTCCATCTATTTGATGCTAAGCTGCTCTTTTTTACTATTGCATAAAGACCAGTGTACTTGATTTTAATTGAATATAAATGTCATTGTTCCGTTTGTGAAAAGATGTTATCATGGTTGATTGAGAATTGAAGATTAGATAGACGAGATCACGTTGTTTTGTATCGAAATGCTAGTATAGATTTTGTTGGTGAGCATCGACTGATAAAAATGAACACGACTTGACTTGCATTTAATCAGAATATTTGTTAGTTGAATGATCGAATCAAACAATGCATTGCTGACACATGATGACATACGATAGTGTATCGATGGTGATTCTATACAATGTCATATTTCTGCTGCAAATAAACAATTGCAGTGCTACTCAGAACACTTGTGTCAAGAGCTAGTACCTCCTTATAATGGAATGTTGGTTTCGAGTTAGCCATTATTATTGCTGACCAAAACATCAATAAATGAAATACTTGGACGAATATTCCGAACTGATTTAATATTTCTACGAAATTTATTTGCTTGAACCAACATTTGATGAAATGTTTCAATTGAATCATTTGAAGTCAAAAATATATCATCAATATAT